GGGGGGGGGGGATAGGTGGGGGGGGTGTATCCAACATTCCTACAGGATTTGTACGTTTCTGCCGAAACCTTCCTTTTTTTTCCCCTTTTTTCTCTTCTTTTTAACAGGTCCTTATGGCCCTGGCTCCATATCCGTTCTGCCCAGATGTCTAGTCAGCTCACACCAAGAGTAAGAAGACGTACTACACCGTCTAATTACTAATTAGGTGTAAGGAAGCAACATAACTATTTGGCATTTGCTATACAACTCTGATATAATCCGTCCACTTGGCATCCTTCAGCTAAGCGAGAGGCCGCTTTGAATCAGCTTATACTCGAAAAGGAGCAGAGTGACGCTGAGAAAAACCGACAGGTATGCAAGGGTACCGTAAAGTTGCGTAAACCCTAAAGGGCTAAGGCTCCCCTAAACCGTGAACCTTCACTTATTGAACTTCAAAGCTCAAACCCTAAACCCTTAACCCTTAACCCCAATCCTTAAACGCGAAGCTGTAACCCTTGCGCACGCCCCCACCCTCCCCCCCCAACCGAACCTAATCCCGAAACCCTTAACTTATAAACCTGCAAATCGTGAAGGCCTTAACCCAGAATCCCTAAACCTCTTGAGTCAGTAAAGCATCCAATTTCTTCCAACATTGAAACCATACTGGCATACCAAAAAAAAAATAAAAAAAATCCATACTCACATGAGAGGTATGCAAAAGCTAGGGAGAGGAAAATCTATATCCAGTGTTATCCACCTATTTGGGACATCAGCCTGAGGCAGGCATACTGCCCAGAGGCTGCGAGTGAGTTTCGCCTTTCTTTTTGTGTTTTTTTTTTTTCCCCTCTGCAACAAGACTGCAAGGCAATCTTTGATTCCAGGATGAGAATGGAAAAGGAACAAAAGAAGAAGGGTTAACTACGCGGGAGTCAAAAAAGCGAGTTATAATTGCACTATGGGCAAGATCCAGTTTGCAATTGCACTTCGGGCACCCTACCTGGCCAGAAAGCTGGGTTGTATACCTTGCCCAAACTGCAATTCGAAACTGTATCTTGGCCCGTAGTGCAATTATAACTCATTTTTGTGACTCCGGCGTAGTTTTCGCAAAGACGGAACTGCCTCAGGCCCATGGCTCCCGTTGTGGCAACCCACTCCCTCTTGTTCGCCCTTCACCCTTCACCCTTCATCCTTCGCCCTTCACCACCTTCACCCTTCACCCGTCACCCTCCACCACCATCACCCTTCACCCTTCACCCTTCACCCTTCACATCCTTCACCCTTCACCTTTCACCCTTCACCCTTCACCCTTCACCTTTCACCCCTCCAACCTTCACCCTTCTGTTCACCATTTACTCTTTCACCGTTCACCCTTTCACCCTTTCATTCTTCACCCTTCACCCTTTCACCCTTTCACCCTTTCACCCTTCACCCTTTCACCCTTTTGTTTACCCTTCAGCATCCAACCTTCTATTCACTCTTCACCCTTCACCTTTCACCTTTCACACTTCACGTTTCACCCCTCCATCCTTCACCCTTCACCTTTCACCCTTCACCCTTTACCATGCACCCTTCTGTTCACCTTTTAATCCTTCACCATGCAACCTTCTGCTCACCTTTCATCATATACCAGCATACTCACCTGCAGTTGAAGACTCACCTGTACTGCATCCCAGAGTTCGGGGACCCATCTCGCGCTCAGCCTTCACCACGAGGGACATATATGTGTCATATGGACTCCTCACCAGGACTGCATCTAGAGTGTTACATCCCCACATTGTCTTTTGAATGCACATAGGTGCAATGAATTGCAGTGCTGCAAGCGGGTGTACACTAACTGCTAGCATAGATTGTGTCTGTTTGATTGCTGTTTGCTTGTCTTGAGCCTTGCGGGACTTGATCCCGTGACCTGTAACTTGTGCGTGTTTTGTTTGTGGTTCTTGGAAAACGGACTCCGGATCGATTGGAGGAGGAAGGGGGATTGGAGAATTGAAATTCGTTTTTCTATTCTCTTTGTATTTTGAGCTTCCACTGTGCATATCTCCTCTCCGGTTTTGTGTGGATTTGTCTCCTTCGAGTCCTGTGAATTCACTGTGGATTGAAGTTCAATCGGGTACATAACATAGGCGTGCCGGCCTTACCACCCGTGTAGCTGAATGGTACACACACGTAACTGTTGATAAGCAGACCTGAGTTCAAATCCTGCTCCTCAGGCCTTACCCAACCCATGTGGCTGAGTGCCACGCCATCTTTTTTTTTTCTTTTTTTTCTTTTTTTTTCTTTTTTTTTAACTTCACGCCCCTGGACAGCATCTAACTGTTGATAAATAGACTGGAGTTCAAATCCTGTTGGTTGAAAAAGCCCTGCCAGGCCTTCCGATGCTCAGCCTCATGGTAGAACAATGACTACCGTCTTCACCCGAAAATAACGCCCGGGCGTTATATTCAGCTTACGACGGTAACCATAGTGTGCTCACAGTGTGCAAGAAGCATACGTCCCAGCAGATTCCCTGTCGAGGCCTTTTTACGTACGCTTCCAGACACAGGGTAACTAGGGTAGGCATGCATGTCTTTTGCTCGCTGCGGACCACCTCTCCGTATGACCTACATCATCTGACGTCTGTGTGTGTGCCATCATTCCCTGCAAACCGCCTGTGTAGCAGCACCACTGTCATCACATACTGCTGTGTAGCTCCCAGCACCAGTGCTATGGTGGCATCACTGCCATGATGATTCATTCATAGGTTCTCTCTCTTTTTTTGTTGGTTTTTAAGAAACATGGGTAGCTGCGAAGTGTATTCTGTTTTCATCTGACTCATCTGGTTCCGTCGGGATTCGAGCTCTTGTTCTGTTTCCTGACAGTTACATGTGTGTTGTGCTGTGTAACATTCAGCCACATGCGCTGGGCGATTCACAGCCACATTCTAGCATCGCTGTCGAGTAGAGAAGTGGGAGTGTAAGGGCACCAAGATGAGAAGGGGGAGATGAAAGCTATGGTTGCCCTCCTACCGGAGACCAAAGGAAGAGGAAGAACACGGGCCTCTCTTACGTCGGAGAAATTCTTTACCAATCCTCTACCAGATCATCCAACTTGTATAGCCCTCGGTCATGAGGAGAAGCAAGAGAGAGAGTAGAGGGTGGGACCCAGGGCACGGCACTAAGCCGGCAGCATCGGGGAAAGTCACGTGGAACTTGAGAGCTAACTTCTACCCGTCCCACCATTTTAATTTTATTTTCAGAGGAAAGTAGCTCCTAAGGGCTCTTATGATATTGTATTCGTTTGACTGGATCGGGATTCGAAGATCAAACTCGTGATCTGTTTACGAAAGGTTACTACGTGTATACCATTCAGCTGCATGGGCTGGGTGAGCTGCAAGTTTTGTCAATGTGAACAAGAATGAATGAGTAAATAAATAAATAAGTTAAAATAACAAGAATGAATAAATGCTGTGGAAAAGGAGAGATGGTTAATGGAAGGCCCAGAATTTGGGGGGTTTCGCCGCATCAATGCAGGCTTATAATAGTATAATACAAACATTAAAAAAAAAAAAAAGAGGCAAAGAAAAACGAAATAAAAAAGACACTCAAAAGCAATATAAAAAACCATATTCGGAGTACCTCTCGGAGTTCGCCAATTTTTTCTCCGAATTCGGTGTTTTTGCCAACCTTTTCGTTACTGATCCAAATATGTCGAAAGTTCTCGAAACTGAATACAGATATACCCTAAAGCACATGCGTATCGCACACACACACACACACACACACACACACACACACACACACACACACACAGAGGTGCAGTTCGGTTGGCATGTACACGACATAACCTCTGCTCCGAACACTATGAAGGGATGGTCGCTGCTAGCCTCTCACACGAAAATTGTGATCCCCTGTCCTGTGCTCATCCCCCCCACCCCCTGATTACTTGCCCAGCATGTCGTTGTGGCCTTGGTCTTCCATGTTTAAATAATTGTGCACGCCAGCCTTCCATACTAATGACATGTCAGCAACATGCCATGTGTCGTCAACGCTTCCAGGAAGCTGTCACAGAAAGTATGTGACTTTAGTGCGTGGAGTATCCCCGGTGCCATCACCCTCCGCATCCTCTCCTAGCATGTCCCACGTGCGGTGTTGGTCATACACCTACGGCAACCGCTGACGGATCTCCCTCTTTCTTGCCAGACGAACGATGGACACAGCAGTCCGAGGAGGAAAATAGACTTCTATATGAACCACCGGCAGAGCGATGTGCTCATAGTTTATCACCACCAGGGCGAGCTGTTGCAGATCAAATCCTACAGCAGCTGAACGCCCTTGCGTTGGACCGATCCTCCCTGTCGTCGTCTGCCCATAGAGAAGGAATAAATACTGAGGAAGCCCAAGAAAGATGCTCCATGCCGCTTTGTGATGACCCGCCGGAGATTCAACTAGCATGCGGTTCACACGCCTTGTGCTGTGAGGATTATGAAGGGATAGTCCCTGCGAGTTCTTGCTTCCATTCGTAGGATGACAGTCAGTACTGTACTCATGTACGGCACCCCGACATGTCATGTCCAATTTGTAGACAGGGGCTGGAATGGCAACGCCTCTATAATTGCGGTCGATGTGCCTCTGTGTTCCTAGCATGTACGAGCCACGTAGCCTGTGACATCTGTCTGCACCGTGCCATTCGATGCAGCAACTGTGACTGTGAAAATTGGATGTGGTGCTTCCACAGCCCACACCCGAACCGGTCCTGTCCGGTCTGTAGGGGTAGCCACTTGCCATAGGTTTTTTTTTTTTTGGTGCAACCCTGTGCCATGCTAGAGTAGTCTGTTTCAGCGGTGAATATTTAGAATTCTGCCTCCACATATTTATCTTTCCTTCCCGTTGCCCCTACCTCCCCTGCCCCATACTCCTATAGAACTCCGCCTTCTATCCCTTACCCTCCACCCTCCCCTCCACTCCCTTTGTGCTACTAACAACTACATACGAATGAGCATCATTAAGAGAACAGACGATATGAAGATCAGAAATGAAATGAACGGAAGTATGAAGATGAATGACGGACTTAAAGACTGTATAATTTGAAGATCTGAAGTGAAATGAGCAGGAGTATGAAGCTCTGAAGAGAAATGCACAGGAGCATATCTTCCCTTTTACTCTGCCTCCTGAAATTACGTGCAAGTGGACTGTGAAGGCACACGGGGATGTGGGCAGCTGCCGCTCAACCACAATCAACGTTGGCAGCCTTGTACGTAAGAGGCACAGTAGAAGGGGAGCTGCAAGAACAAATGAAAGGGGTACCCCAAGGACAACCAAAAAACTGTCTAATTATAAAATTGCTTTAATATGTTGGGCTCTCTCATCTCAAATGCTCTCGTTGTCTGCAATAGGACACTGCTTTGATTCTGAATCTATTCACCTGGGTGGAATTGGGCCTGTTGTGGGGAAAATCTATAACACACACACACACACACACACACACACACACACACACACACACACACACACACACACACACACACACACACACNCACACACACACACACACACACACACACACACACACACACACACACACACACACACACACACACACATGCACACACACACAAAACGAGAAAAACGAGAAAAAAAAGCAAAAATTCAGGGAAATATGGCAGTTTCGGTGCAAAATTCGCCGAAAATGACACCGCCTATTAACCATTAGTGGAGTGTGGAAAAGGAACCGGATTAACGCTCCCCGGAATGGAATGGAGCCAGGACCATAAGGTTCTATTCTTTTGTGAACCCGCCGGCACCAGTTCCCCCCCCCCCAAAAAAAAAAAAAAGTGGGAATAAATCAACCCCCAGAATTCAAATAGTGAACATCCATACCCCTTTTGCTTTTGCTCATCGCAGCATTGGGCAGCTCAGTCCTCCGAGACATCCGTCAAAATTGGAACGGTACAGAGAAGGTCAACATGGCCCCCACCCGAGGATGACACACATAAATCGAGAAACGGTCCAAAAAAAAAAAAAACACAGAAAAACGTTGTGCGGCTCATGGCCTCATGGCATCATCCTAAACTTGCAGAAATTGAGCTCATCTCAATGAGTCCTATGTCATCGGGCTTGTTCTTCTAGACGATTGATTTGTTTGTGTAATGCTTTTATCAACACACAAATCGACGAATGCGCATGGCAGAAAAATATAAATGCCCACTTATCGTTCTGGGATGTACATTTGTCGATTTGTGTGTATACTACTTTAGAGCTGAGCCCATCCTCGCCGTCTCCATTGCATTCCCAGCTCTATCACACTCCCAAAGGATATGAACCTGTTTTTCTCATTGGTCATGAATATCCCTATTGGATTTGAAATGTAAGTGGGGGAAAAAAAAGACTGAGGGGTAACTTCAGTAGAGTCACAAAAGCGAGTTATAATTGCACTATTGGGCAAAGATACAGTTTGCAATTGCACTTTGGGCACCCTACCTGGCCAGAAAGCTGGGTTGTATGCATTGCCCGAACTGCAATTGCAAACTGTATCTTGGCCCATAGTGCAATTATAACTCATTTTTGTGACTCCCGCGTACTTTCCCCAAAAAAGACTGAATAGTCAAGCAAGACTGATACCCAGTGCTGCTGTTGTGTCCTCCTTTCGTTCTTTGGCGGGGGCGTGTGAATGTGCTGGTGTGCCCATGTAAATTCGATCATCGTGTGAAATGGCGCAGATACGAGACCTGAGGAAGAAACTGGATGACCTGGCCCATGAGTTCGTTGAAGTTCTGAAGGTTGGTTTGTTTTTTCTCTATAATCAATCTATGGTACTCTATACATTGTATACAGTATATAGTATACGCAGTTATATTTCAAAGGGTTATTTACCTAATTGGATCTGACTGGAGCTCATACAGTCATCACCATGCGTGTAGTACTCACAATGGTCAACGAATGACCTTTTTTTTTTTTTTTTTTTTTTGCATGGAGATAACGATGTAGTCAAACCACCAGACAGAAGAACAAGAGGAGTGGGAAGAAAAAAATAACTCGAGATAATCTTTACAATGTCTCGTCTCTTCTCCCTCAATGTGTCATCTCAGCAAGTAAGCATCATATTAGCATCTGCTACTGGGGAAGTTTCTCTGCACTCTCACACACAGGTTCCCTAATATGCACAATGCTGCTCTCAATGCCAATATCACCCTGGCCCCAGTGTTATCACAAACAAGGCCAGATAATCGTCATGCGGACCTTCCGACGCAAAGTGATGCGTCCTTCTTCAACCATACCCCACAGGTAAGTCCAGGTAAGCTTCTCTCTCTCTCTCTCTCTCTCTCTCTCTCTCTCTCTCTCTCTCTCTCTCTCTCTCTCNTCTCTCTCTCTCTCTCTCTCTCTCTCTCTCTCTCTCTCTCTCTCTCTCTCTCTCTCTCTGTGTGTGTGTGTGTGTGTGTGTGTGTGTGTGTGTGTGTGTGTAGATGGCGAGGGCATCTCCCTCATACCTCGCCATCTCATTCCCTCAGCACTCTAGGCTTAGTAGGCTATGTTGCTTCGACACCTTCTCATCCCAGGTATGGCTATTATTGACTCTTTTCTCTCTCTGTGCCCGGCGCTCTTCCTCTATCCAAAGCTTGCGAGAGTTGATGCTCAGCAGGGCTTCAGCGGCTCGAGCCCAAATGTGCACGGCAAAGTTAGTCCCCAAGGCTACAGGCAGGCAAAGTATGTTGCGTTTGGTGGGCCTGGTGTGGGAAGTTTGCTGGACCACGAATGGCTGAGATTCTTCTTCTTGGCAGCTGTGATCTTGCTTCGATCTGACGCTGTATCTGGTAGGCCCTGGATGCTTCTGAAAACAGACTCTGAGCCCTTGTATTTGTCTGTGATCTGTGGTGACGGTTAACGCCTGGAGAATTTTTTTGACTCTTGGATTGACTGGTAGACGCTTACTGTTGCGCCTGGGTTGACTTTCTTAGGTGCAGTTGGTCCCCTGGCCATGAAGGGATGCTGATCACACTTGCTAGAATAGAGGCTTCCATGTGACAGTCACAAGATGAAAAACAGAACTCTTTTTTTCTAGTAGCAAACATAGTTAGTCGAGTACGAGATCCAATGTCTCGTCTTGTGTGGCTTTATCCACTAGAATCGGGCCTTCGGCTTTGCCCACTTCGTGTCCTAAGGTTGCCCTGGAAGTCCACTGGGGAGACGATTCCAAATCACTTAAATCCAATAAAGCCTCTCCAAGAAAAGTAAGGTAAGAGAACATTAAACCACCAGTACTTCCTAAAGTCGCGCCCGTTAACGCTATGCGATTTTAGGAAACGTACGGGCCACTCCAGGAGTGCCCAAATTCATCCAACTAGAAACGTTTCTACTCTATTTTTTTCCGCGGCCGATAGCTGGGCCAAGTACTGGTGGTTTAAGCAAGTAGAGTTAGTGAGCTATTTAAAGGCTACAGTAACTATATCGCCCCTACTGATAGCCTCACTGTCATGGTTAGTTAGTAGTTACCCTTTATCATCTAAGTCCCAGCTATGGTGATGAGGGGTTGCTCACAGATTTGCTGGCATCCATTCAAGACGCTCCTGCATCTCAGTCCACACATGTCGTCTCAATGGATTTTGCATTGACTCATGATTTTGGGGTTAACTTTGGGGTTACTTGCAGGCGGCAAGTTTTTTCTCCCAATTTGTTTGTCCTTTGCTTCGACCTCCAATGCGGGCTCATGGGCCACAGGGGTCCTATCCTCAGTTTGAAGCCCTTGCGCACAACCCAAAAAAAGCACCATAAACCGGGAAGTACATTCTTGCCGTGGTGGACTCGCACTTCATGCCAAGCTTTGCCGAGCCGCCAGCAGCACACCATTTGTCCTTTTGTGGCTGGTGCTGCCAACAATTGTGGTCCCGTAGCCCAGTGCCTCCGCGATTTTTGGATTAGATCGATTCTGATTCTCAGGCAAGTTTGCCTGTGCGATGTACTGGTGGTTAAACCACCAGTTGTTCCCAGCCTCTTTTTCCTAACAAGGACTTTTGCCCAGCCTTAAGAAATCTAACCCATTTAGGAAACACCAAACAGCAATCTCAGTGTTACAAGATCTATTAATGGGACGCTGGACCCGGTTTCCAGCAGGTGCCGCTCCCCACCAATAGATGGAGCAGCCCGAAAGGTAAGCCCTCAATTCTGACAGTTCTCCTACTGCCGCCAGGATAGAGGGATATCACAAGGGCTATTCTCGGAAAAAAAAAATAAAAAAATAAAAAAATCCAAACTGTTGTAGCGCACAATTTTTGCATGGCGGTGCCAGTCTTTTTGTTATGTGATGGGCAGTCCAAGCGCTTCTGCGGTCTCGTGTTGACCGTGACTAGTGGGCATATTTTTCCAAAAACAGCTGGTTTAAACCGCTAGTACACGGTCCCAGCCTTGCAGAAAGTTTTTTGTCGCCACAAGCAAAACTAAGTAGGGTGCAGGCACAACGCGGTCAGGCCTGCTGTTGGGGGGGAAAAATCGGTGGCCTCCGAAGTGGTGAGGGTTTCATGCTGACACCCATGGGCCTATATGTGGTGTACTGGTGCATTAACCAGCGTAGACATGCGTGCGTAGCACACCTCCATAATTGCAGAGTATAGATGCTGGCACAGGTACACATGTCTCTGTACATTGGCATGATGTCCGCACACATATCATATATGCACATCTGTGTGCATACACACGTGAATGAGTGAATATTTACCATTTCGTTAACACTGACTTTCTTTTTTTTTTAAGGTAAGTACATTCATGTCACCTTTGAGTATCGAATGGGCAAAAAAAAACACGCATCGGCAAAGAAAACCGCGCCGAGTTCAAAAAGGCAACGGAAGTACTGACGGCCGTGGTGTCAGACCGGGGGTGTCATATTTACAGGGGTCCGCCGTGGTGTCAGAGGGGGGAACAAAAAAAAAANCTCCACAGCCTCTCATGCGGATCCCGTTGACACGTCAGCTGATCCCCCCCTCCTTCTATAATGTCGTGCTTCTGGCGGTCTCCGCTTTCCATGTTGGCACTTGCTGAGCTGGGTGTAAAGGGGGAAAAAAAAAAAAAAAAAAAAAAAAAAAAAAAAAAAAAAAAAGCCCAACAGATACTTTTGGACCGAAATTGCTCATTTCGAGTTGGCGCTTGGTTCTTTGCCGGCGCGATGTTTTTTTTGCCTTTAGGGTTTCAAAACATGCTGCGTCCGCCGTTATTTCTTAGAATTGTTTTTGTTTTCTGCCACTTTGAATCTGTTTTGGTTGCGCTGACAGGTGTGAAAGTTTGAATGCCTGCATGTAAGCAAGCCAGCTTTCTGTTCCCTTTCTTCTTGTGCCAACTTCCCTTTGCTCTTATTGTCTTGCAACCTTTCCTGTTCCCTTTGCCATGGGCTGCATATGAGATGGTCATACTGGGTTGCATGGAGAGTGGTACCCCCTGCGCGGCTCGACCTATCGTCCCGTTTCTGCAATCTTTTTAATCTTCCCCTCATCTCTTGACTTCCTTGAAATTTCTCCTCCTCGTGTATCAGGCCCTCCCCTCCTGTCTATCTGACTCCCCTAACTCTGCCGGTCATTCGCCGCTTCAAAGACGACTGTGCCTCTCATTAAACTCTGTCCTTGATCTTGACTGTAACTCTACCAGGACTGCGGGTTGCGTGCCACAGCATCACACAGGCTCGTCGTGCCTGAAGGACTGAACAGAGTGACGACATCGGTTGATCTCACACAGTCTTAGGAACAATGTAGTGGAGATTTAATGTCGCAGCATAACTGCATCGTCACACAACATGGAAAGAGAACTCATGCTCCAGACCTTCATCCCCTATGCTACTCAGTCTGATCGGCGCGGCATCCGCTCGCTCTATAAATCCTACTTCACTTCCCAAAAATTTGACTCCGGTCCCTGGTACCGGTTCCTAGTACCATCTACGATTGTTTCTTGTCGCCGGGAAAACCAAAAAACGTGTTTACACGCTAAAGCATGCTAAGACAAGCAGTCCTCACCTAGAGTGCCCAGCTACATAATCTGTCCAAAATGGACAAAATAAAAACAGTCCATCAAAAAATCAAAAAATCAAAAAATCAAAAAAGCACTCACTAGGATACAACTCTGACAAGTGCTTACAGTGCAGGCAATCGCCCGCTCAGATCGGCCTCGGATTCACGATGGTTCCACAATCCTTGTCGTTAGTTCCTTGGTCCTGTTTGCCGCCTGCCTCGGATTCACGATGGTTCCACAATCCTTGTCGTTAGTCCCTTGGTCCTGTTTGCCGCCTGATTCCTGCAGGGCGCAGGCCTTCTCTGTGCGTGTGGTCCATTTTCTCCTTCTCTAGCTCACTCACGCGGTTTTTTTCTCTTTCTTTTCTCGGGGGATGCCAGCAACCTACCCGTCGTGTTCCCTGTACCATCTACTGAGTCTCGTGAGTGGAAGTTTGCTTTGGTTATAGCACGGGGTCATCCTGATCTGGTTGTTTAAGTAGAGTGCAGGTTCCGCGCTCCATGCACATTATCTTTTGCAATTGAGTGTTTTTGCATCCTTCATCTCTGCTATGCCTGTTGGCATGTGAATCTGTAGTTGTATGGTTGGGAGTCAGTTTTGTGTGATGTTTGCTTATAGGCCTGGAAAAGTGGCCCTTTCAGTTGTGCCCTTGGGGCCCTTTTGCATCGCAATACCCACTTGTTTTCGTGCCTTCGACGAGAGGAAAAATGGAATTAGTTCGAACACTGAAGTTCGATGGCCAAACTTGGACGGACGGAACCACTTCCTTTTTCTTGCGGATCGAGCTAAACAGGCATTAGCTAAAATGGTTCTAGAACCCCTTTCGTTTTTTGAGTATGCTTTCTTGCACTTGCTCCTTCGCATGCAAATCTTTCGGGTGCTCTTCTTCCTCCTTGTTCGCACCTTCCTTGGCAAAAAGTAATTGTCCTCTTCTCCCTTCTTCTGTCTTTCTTTTCCTTCTTGATCCCATTGAATCTCGGTCTCTCCCTATGTCATCTCTCCTAACATTTTTTCCCGCCTTCATCTACACCCAAACGCATATTGCCAAGCCCCAAGTGCCCATAGCAAGTGGGATTGTCGCACCGAGAGCGGCTCCGGCCTTCTCATATGACGCTTCAATTGGCTACGAGCGCTTCTTCGGGATCGACATGGCCTTCCTAACCTCCTATCTTCAGCTCTTCTCCCTGCCTTTCTCTCTCTTCTACATATCTCCTCTCCACCTTGTTCACACCTATAAATCTCGCAAGCGCGTCTCGCTGTCTCTCCCTTACGCTATCCGCCAACTCGAGTGGAGTAGTGGCTAGATAGGGGTGATCGACGGATTGCAAAATTATGACGGGTCTACCACTTCTTAGAGGGATTGCACGCCAGATACCCGGGGGTGGCGAGGCGAGTGGGGGGGGAGAGCGCAGCAGCCTTGCTGGCCGCTTGTCTCCTCCCTTAAACCAAATCCTCTCGGAAAAGCCAAACAGACTTGTTCCTATAACACCGGTCTCTACCTATAGTCATGCTCCCTCTATGAAGTTATATTCTCCTTACCAGTTTTACTTGTTCTCCATATATCTTGATACCATCCTACTCAGATGACCTACTTACATTTCCTATGCTAAGTTTGCTTATATCGTACTTGCCACCTACTACCATCCCTCGTCCCTTGCCCATCTACCATCCTCTCATACAGTATACTGTCTCTATTTTCAAGGTGCCCGAATTTTTCCAGTTTCCACACCTTGTCCGAAATTTTGTCACCCCTTTTTCTGTGAAACTCACCTCCCTATCGCCCAACCCCTATCTTCTTCAACTTCCCCTTATCTTGCCCCTTCTATCCCCTGGAGTCCTACTATCGGAAGTGTGGTACATCTACTCATCTCTCGGCTCTTCTTTTTTTTAGTGCTCATGCTTATTTCTATTTGAAGTTACGGATGTGGCGTATGTGGATGTTTGTCTTGAGTGAATGTATGAAATTTTTGCTCCTCTCTTTTGTGTCGAGTGATACGGTTTGCTTCCGCTGAACGAATGGTTAATGATGTGTGTTTTTTCCCGTTACACTCTTCCGCTTGCAAGATGGGCACAAATATGGGTTATTCTC